TAGGAATTATCATTACAACTTTGCAGATGAGCTGGTTTAGGCTCAGGCATGTTAAGAGCCATTCAAGGTGATAGTGGTTGAAACAGAGCTAGGAATCTACCACAGGTTCTATTTATTCATTTAATACTGTTTGAGCACCCATTATATGCCCAAGGATAAGAATAAAGCGGGAGACACATTCCCACCAAGAAGCTTACAGTCTGACAGAAAGAGTCAGACATACCAGCTAAGGAATTGCAAAAACAATTGTAAAATCAAATCAGAACTATGATGTATGATTCAATGGGGAGCTAGGCAAACAGGCTAGGACCAGATCTTGATGGGTCTTTAAAGCTTTATTTTTCTTAAAGCAGTGGTTCACAAACTATGGTCCCTTGACCAGCAACATCACCTGGGAACTTAGAAATACAACACACCAACTGAATCAGAAACTGGGAATTTGGCCCAGTAGTCTTTTACCAAGATGTATGTATGGGTAAACATGATGCAATCTAAGGTTTGAGAGCTACTTTCTTAAAATAATAAAGGACTAGAATGTTTTAAGTGGAAGATAAAAGGATTATATTTGTATTTGGAAAGATCAATATAGCTGCAGAGTTAGGGAATTGATTGGAGGCACCATTATGGAGTAGAAAAGGGGCTCATACTATAGTGGGAAGAGAGAAATGGATAGTTTAACTAGGGTGGTAGCAGTGCCTACAAAACGGGTTCTGTTAACTTTATAGTCTGTAAATGGCTTTATTCTGAAAAGTAGTGAAAACTGACCAGTGTGTGCACTTGTAATAAGTGGGGCACAATGATACCTGGAGTGAGTACCTATTTTATGTTCCTTGAACTCTACTGAGTCCTTTTTTTGCACATACTTTTTTAAAAAGTTTTGTATTTTTGGGCGCCTGGGTGGCTCAGTTGGTTAAGCGACTGCCTTCGGCTCAGGTAATGATCCTGGAGTCTCGGGATGGAGTCCCACATCAGGGTCCCTACTCAGCAGGGAGTCTGCTTCTCCCTCTGACCCTCTTCCCTCATGCTCGCTATCTCTCATTCTCTCTCTCTCAAATAAATAAATAAAATCTTAAAAAAAATTTTAAAAAGTTTTGTATTTTTTTCTTGATTTTTGTTTTCCCATTATGCTTTGCAATTTACTGTTACACTGGGCAAGATTCTTAAAACTTCCTTCAGCCCCAGTTTTCTAATCTCTGACCATTCTATGCAGCCTCATCCCGAATCCTACGCACTCCACATCTTGTTTAGCATACTCAGAAGTACCCGTTTTGGGGGTGCCTGGCTGGCTCAGTCTGAGGAGCCTGCGATTCTTGATCTGGGGGTTGTGAGTTTGAGCCCCACGTGGGGTGTAGAAATTACTTAAATTAAAACAAAGTACTCATTTTGAAAGTATTTTTTTTAAAGATTTTATTTATTACCTAGAGAGCAAGAGAATGAGCACAAGCAGGGAGAACAGCAGGCAGAGGGAGAAGCAGGCTCCCCACTGAGCAAGGAGCCTGATGTGGGTCTCTATCCCAGGACCCTGGGATCATGACCTGAGCTGAAGGCAGACACTTAACCGGTTGAGCCACTCAGGCGCCCTCCATTTTGAAAGTATTAAACAGGAATTGGAAGTCACTGAAGCCTTAGTCATTAGCTATAATAACATAGTGTAGGCAAGTAAAAAGAGTAGAGACTATGCTTTTATTTTATGTAGTTCTGTGTTACTGGAATTCATTACAAGTTGAATGTATTTTAACATAAAATTAAAGGTGTATTTTAAAATTCTGAAACTCCTCTCCTGTGCCTCCAAAATTTGTGTAAGAAAATTTCCTACATCACATTATTATAGGGAGCCTGGTGAAAGTTAATGCCTTTACCAGTCATGAAGGACTTAGCAACTATATGAGACATAGCAACTTTGAGATTTAATATCAGTACTTTTTATATGTAAGTGCCTACACAAACACACAGCTCAGAGCTACTGTGGGATCAGTTCCAGACCACTGTCATAAAGTAAGTCAAATGAATTTTGTTTCCCAGTGCATATAAAAGTTATGTTTACCCTATACTTTAGTCTATTAAGTGTGCAATAGCCTTATGTCTAAAAAAAAATCAATGTACATACTTTAAAAAATAATTTATTGCTAAAAATGCTAACCATTATTTGAGCTTTCAGTAGTTGTAATCTTTTTTTTTTTTTTTGCAGTTTTATACCTTTATTTGACAATCAGCGATTAGTTCTCATCCACATTAACTGTCTGTAGATTTTTGAAAGTGGTGACAGGTACATAGGTAACCAGTGTGTAGAGCTTGTTTGGTGAATCTTCATCCTCGTTACATTTTCTGGACAACCGCACATGGATACGGTATGGAACATTCCTTATTCCTTTGGCCCAAACAGCTTTGTTGAGCCTGGTGTCAATGCGCACATCTGGAGTTCCCATCTCCTTCATGGCAAATTTCCGGATCTCTTTGAGTGCCCGAGGGGCACGCTTCTTGAAATCTGCTCCATGGATGGGCTTGTGAATGTTGATGGTGTATTCTCTGGTCACTACTTCATTGATGGCAGAATGGCCCTTCTTCTCGCCACCCTTCTTCGCGGGAGCCATTCTGCCGGGCCCTGGTTGGAAAGGCTCAGTAGTTGTAATCTTTTTGCTGGTGGAGATCTTGCTTCTATTTGATGGCTGCTGACTGATCAGGGTGGTGGTAGCTGAAGGTTGAGGTGGCTGTGGCAATTTCCTAAAATGAGACAACAGAGATTGGCACTTTGACTCTTCCTTTCATGAATGATTTCTCTGTTGCATGTGATGCTGTTTGATAGCATTTTAGCCACAGTAGAAATTCTTTCAAAATTGGGAGTATGTCCCCAAACCTTGCTGCTGCTTTGTCAGCTGAGTTTATGGCATATTCTAAATCCTTGTTGCCATTTCAACAATCTTCAGAGCATCTTTACCAGGAGTAGATTCCATCTCAAGAAACCACTTTTTTCTTCTTGTCCCTAAGCAGCAACGAAGTCGTCATGGTTTCAAGTTTGATCATGAGATTGCAACAATTCAGTTCCATCTCAGGCTTTACTGCTAACTCTAGTTCTCTTGCTGTTTCCACCAGAACTGCAGTTACTTCCTTCACTGAAGTATTGAACCTACAATTTGTTACACAAAACAAAAAAAACCCACAAACTCAGTATCTGAAAAGTACAATCCTGTGAAGCACCATAACATAAGATGTGCCTGTATGTGTAATGTAGTATGTGATTTCAGCTAGATTTCTAAGAACCTTTGAGATTTATGAGATACCTTATAATACTTTTTATTGTACCTGTGTTAAATGGCAGGCACTGTGACGTGTGCTTTAATTTTATTTTCTTGTTTAATAATTACAATGGGAGAGAGTATTATTTCTCACTTTGTGAAAAGAAAGCTGAAGCTCAGAGAAATTAATTTGACCAAGGGTATATAGCTAGTTAAGTGGCAGACTTGAATGAAGACCCAGTTCTATCAGGTATTGCTGCCTCTCAATTTGTGTTATGTTTTTGCTGTTACAGTGCTAGAATCAATAAATCCCTGTCTTTCCTCCTAAAAATGTTTGGAATATGCTATCAAATGTGAAAAGCTGTGAATATATCAAATATGAAAAATTGGGGCACCTGGTGGCTCAGTCGGTTAAGCATCTGCCTTCAGCTCAGGTCATGATCCTAGCATCCTGGGATAGAGCCCCGCATGGGGCTCCATGCTCAGCAGGGAGCCTGCTTCTCCCTCTCCCTCTCTGCCTGCCTGTCTGCCTACTTGTGCTCTCTCTCTCTGTCAAATAAATAAAATCTTTAAAAAGAAAAATATAAGTTGCTTTGAAATAGATGTAGAGAGATGCATAGGATGCTGTAGGAGTACAAAGAAGGAGCAGTACAGTTTTGTGATTATCATGCCAATTAATGCAATGTATAAGTGTACTCAAATTATTGTAGATTCATTTTTTACCACTCTAATTGAGGATAATAGCTCCTAATTTTAGGGTTGCTTGGAGAGTTTAATTGAATCAGCAACTACATGAAAGACCCTTAGCTTAGTGCCTGACACATAATAAACCATCCTAGAGAAAACTTGTCTTGGTCAGACTCTCCCAAAGGAGCATAACTGAGTCCCAAGGAAAGAAGGGAGGAAAAGGTAATGTAAGCAGTGAGTGGTTTGTGCAGGAAGGAGAACATAACATCTTTGTTTTATTTTTTTTTCATTTTTTAAGATTTTATTTATTTATTTGACAGAGACAGCAAGAGAGGGAACACAAGCAGGGGGAGTGGGAGAGGGAGAAGCAGGCTCTTGGCTGATCAGGGAGCCCAATGCAGGGCTCGATCCCAGGACCCTGAGATCATGACCTGAGCTGAAGGCAAACACTTAATGACTGAGCCACCCAGGCGCCCCAACATCTCTGTTTTATTTATTTTTTTTAAAGATTTTATTTATTTATTTGAGAGAGAGAGAATGAGAGATAGAGAGCACGAGAGGGAAGAGGGTCAGAGGGAGAAGCAGACTCCCCGCCGAGCAGGGAACCCGATGTGGGACTCGATCCCGGGACTCCAGGATCATGACCTGAGCCGAAGGCAGTCGCTTAACCAACTGAGGCACCCAGGCGCCCCCCAACATCTCTGTCTTAAAAAAATAAAAGACCAACTACTTTAGGGGACCACAAGCCAGTTGAAGATGAAGATACTGAGTGAGGTATGAAGGGCTCTGAATGGTAAGCTAAGGGGAGTACTTTGTCTTGTCTTTTGGTGAGTTACTGACAGGTTTAACTGAGAGGAAAGATTTAATAAGTTTAAAAAGTGAAGGTATGAGGGATAAGTTAAATTATATATCAAGAAGCAGTAGGTAAAATGTAGAACTTAGGATAGCCCACCAGGACAAAGGTAGAGGCAGAAGACACTATTCTAGATTGAAGGTATTTAAGGGTGCTAATAAGTAAATGTAATATGTGGGCCATATTTGGATCCAGATTCAAACACATGTAAAATAGAAAGCTGCAGCACCTGGCTGGCTCAGTCGGTAGAGCATATGACTTTTAATCTCGAGGTTGTAGGTTCGAGCCCCACGTTGGGTGTGGAGATAACTTAAAAAATAAAATATTTAATAAAATCACTTATTGACCAAGAACAGTGGACATGTTGGCTGCCATTTATGTGATCTCCTTATTTAAAAAGGGGTTATAGGGGTGCCTGGGTGGCTCAGTCAGTTAAGCAACTGCCTTTGGCTCAGATCATAATCCCAGAGTCCTGAGATAGAGGCCTGCATCAGGCTCCCTGCTCAGCGGAGAGCCTGCTTCTCCCTCTCCCTCTGCCTGCCACTCCCCCTGCTTGTGCTCTCTCTCTTTCTGTCTAAATAATTAAATAAAATCTTTTTTAAAAATTAAATAAATCAATAAATAAAAAGGGTTATAATCCCCATTTTATGGGTCAAAGAAAGGAGATTCAAAAAAGTTACGTGGGTTTTCCGGAAGTATACACTAAGTAGCTGAACCAGGATTCAAACCTAATAGACTTCTTTTTTTTTTTTTAAGATTTTATTTATTTATTTTGTCAGAAAGCGAGCGAGCGAGAGACAAAGGGAGGGAGAGAGGCAGGCAGAGGGAGATGCAGGCTCCCCGCTGAGCAGGGAGCCTAACATGGGACTCAATCCCTGGACCCTGGCATCATGACCCAAGCTGAAGGCAGACGCTTAACCAACTGGGCCGCCCAGGCGTCCCAAACCTAATAGACTTTTACCTTTAGTCCTTACGTTGTGAAACATTGCCTTCCATAGCATGTTGCTGTGATAGCTGTTCTGCAGGCCCAAGACACTGAGTCAGTCCTTGAGTTTGGGAATAATTTAAAAATGGAGGCTTTCTAGAATTATTACATTTTTCCTATTTTGCTTGTAGGAAGAGTAAGTCTGTAGTGAAAGAACTTGCTAGGTCACCAGGACAAAACCAATTTCAGATGTCAAAACCATGCTTCTATTTCTGTTCTCACTGTCTTTGGATTATGAGGGAAGGGAGAGGAAGCACAAAAGTGGAGAAAGTGTCTTAGTATGGGAAGAAAGGAGAGAATACTGTACTGATGATAAAATGGCTCACAAACTTGGAGGAATTTGATTTGCTTAAAATTGGGTGTGCTGGGTATCTTAAAAACAAGCCAGGAAATTTTCTCCCTTTTTTTTTTTTGGTAAGATTTAATTTATTTATTTATTTATTTATTTATTTATTTATTGAGTAACAATAATATTTATTGAGCATTTATTATGTCCCAGGACCTATGCTAAGCACTTTTTGTTTGGATGAGTTAGAGTTCCTGGCAGAAAGCAACAAAAATTAACTCTAGCTGAAATAAACATGAAGTAAATCACAGAAAAGGTATTGGGGGGGTGCACCAAGGAGGTGGGAGAATTGGTCACAGAAAATAGGAAGGCATCAAAGGGGTCTAACAGGAGCCAGGAACACAATCAGATCTCACCACAGGAACCACCCATCTCACGAAGACACTGCCATTACTCCTAGAAAGCAGACACTGCTTCAACCTCTGATGGGCCACACTCCCATGCTTGCTTCTTTGCACTCCTGATTGCAGATTCATAACAATGGATGGCTGGGGTACACAGTGGGGAGGTTAATTCCTCATTTCAGAGCATGTCCCAAAGGGGCAGCATTTGTGGAGAGACCCCTTTGGGAACAGGGGAGCCCGCAGGCGCCATCTTCCTTTTTCACCCCTCAGCATAAGCACAGGGCCACTTAGTTTCTTAGCAGCCTCCAGAGCTTCCTTTGCAGTGTCTGCTACAAAGAATCTTTGAACTCTGACTCCGGGGTCCGACATCAGTTTCTTGCTCTGGTATTCCTGCAGGTTTAGCCATCTTCGGGGGGTTAACTGAACTGCCTGGGACCTGGCCGCCAGCAGCGGGGCCGGAGTACCAGGTCTCGCAGAACTTTCCGGGCCAGCGCTGCTGCGGGAGACGCCATCTTAAACAGGAAACGGTGCGGGGGAGCCATGTGCAAGATTTTATTTGTTTGAGAGTACCAGCAAGAGAGTACAAGCAGGGGAACAGCAGAGGGAGGGAGCCCGACGTGGGGCTCCGTCTCAGGACCCTGAGATCAAAGACAGATGCTTAACCAGCTAAGCCACCCAGGCTCCCCTCTCCCTGTTTATTTCGAACATTTCAAACCTATAGAAAAATTGAAAGGATGCACAATATACTTAGATAAACCTTTTGCTTAGATACACCAATTTTTAACTTTTTGCCACACATCTTAAAATTATTGAACCTTCTGAAAGTTAAGTTGCAGCCATCAAGATGGTGTCCCCACCCCCAAAGTATATATCACCTAAGAACAGGATGTTTTACCTCTTACCTATGGTAAATTAATATGATAAACACAATTTAATATGATATGTAGTCCGTAACTAAAATTCTCCCATTTGTCCGAGAAATGTTCTTTTAGTTGTTTACCTTTTAATTTTAAGATCCCAAATTCAATCAGGTATTGCACATTATATTTGTCATATTTCTGAAACTTTTTTTATGTTTGTTTTTCATGACATTTACATTTTGAAGAACACATACCGATTATCTTGTAGAATGCCCCATAATTTAAGTTAGACTACTTGCTTTCTTACGATTGGTTTGAGATGGAATACTTTTTTGCAAGGATATCTTCCAGGTTTTTTGTTGTTGAAATGTGAGATGAGTGAATCTTTATAACTATGAATTCTTGTTTCAAGAACCTCTACACAATGATTTTAGCATTTATTGATGAGTCTTGTGTGAATGTTTTAATACACTGATGATTGTGGCATATTTTTAACTTAATGTTTTTTCTCACCCATAGGAAAGATTCCTTATCTTGGACGTACAGCTACTTGCTTGAACAGGAAAATCATGCCTGACTCTACATCAAGTGGGAAGAACAGCAGCCCAGCAGATACATTCTAGTATGCAGTAGACTACAGCCTGTGGACTATTCTTGGCAACAGAATCTAGAGCTAAGGGGCAGAGAAATAAACAGGTTTGTATAGGCTCTCATCAACATGCCAATCTAGTGAAACTGAAAGCTGGTCAGTTTTCAAGGTCTGGAAGGAGATCATCCACTGTTCTCTGGGTCTTGTGTGGTAGAGAGCCAGGCTTTACTAAAGGACATACTACCTTACCCACCACCTTTGTTCACAGCTCAATGGAGTTTGTGACAGCCCTGGCAGACCTCCAGACAGGGGCTAGCTGTCCCATCTGTCTGGACTACTTGAAAGAGCCAGTGACCATCAACTGTGGGCATAACTTCTGTCACTCCTGCATCAGTATGTTCTGGAAGAATCTAAATGATACTTTCCCCTGCCCCTTTTGCCGTTACTGCTCTCCAGAAAGGAAATTTGCAAACAATCCCCAGCTGGGCAATCTGATTGAAATTGCTAAACTACTACAGATAAGAAGAAGCAAGAGGAAGAGGAAGGAAGAGAAGCTTATGTGTGAAAAACATAATCAGATTTTGACCTTCTTCTGTCAGAAGGACCTAGAAGTTTTATGTCCACAGTGTAGTTTCTCCGCTGATCACCAGGATCACTATATTTGGCCCATAGAGAAAGCTGCTCCCTATCACAGGAAAAGATTGCAGAATTGCATTGAACCATGGAAGGAGAGAGTAGAACAAGTTGAAAAGGTGATAACTATGCAAAGCAGAAAATCATTGGAACTGAAAAAGAAGGTACAATGTAGGAGAGAAGAAATAAAGTCTGAATTTGAGCAAATTTTGTTGTTTCTCAAAAATGAGCAAGAGATTGTTCTACGGCAATTACAAGATGAAGAAATGAATATTTTAACAAAGCTAAATGAAAACCTAACAACATTTTCAAATCATCTTTCCACATTAAAACATCTATCAAAGGAGATAGAGGGCAAATATATGAAGTCAGAGCTGGAATTACTGACAGATGTTGAAAGTATCTACTATAGATATAAAACCTTAAAGTCCCCTGAACCTTTTTCATTCCAGTTAAAAGAATATGGTTACCATCTTGCTCCACAATATTCTGGCCTAAATAAAATTATCAACAGATTTCAAGTGCATATAATTCTAGATCCTGAAACAGCACATCGTAAGCTTATTGTCTCAGAAGACAGAAAAACTGTGCAATATGTAAATAAAAGGCATAACTTAACTCATAACCCAAGGAGGTTTTATCTCTGCCCAGCTGTCCTGGGTTCTAGAGGTTATAATTCTGGCAGACAGTATTGGGAGGTGGAAGTAAAAGACAAGCCTGAATGGATCGTGGGTGTCTGTAAAGACTCTCTTCCCAGAAGGAGAAAGAATCAGAATCAACCAATTTTAGTGCAGGATGGACTATGGGGTGTTGGACGATGTAGTCAGAGTAATTATATTGCATTGGGTCCTAAAAAAACTAATCTTCTGCCAAAAGTAATACCTAGAAAGATTGGCATTTTTTTAGACTGTGAATTGTGTGAGGTTTCCTTTTACAATTTGAGTGATAGATCCCTTCTCTATATTTTTAACTATTACTTTACAGAAACACTTTGGCCTTATTTCTACACTGGAACTGACTCAAAACCTCTTAAAATCTGTACAGTAACAGATTCTGAATGATGAATTACTGTAAAACTCTTAATTTTTTTGTTTGTTTCAGGTAGTGGACAAAACTAAGCCAGTGAATCTAGTCTCAACAATTCTGTTGTGGTTTTTGTTGTTAGCTTTTTGTTTTTGTTTTGTTTTAGTTTTACTTTTTCCTTTAAACAACCAGAATGATTTTATCTTAGTTTCAGCAGCTTCTATAAAATGTGGTTATAGGGTACTTGGCTGGCTCAGCCAGTATTGCATGCAACTCTTGATCTCAGGTTGTGAGTTTGAGCCCCACATTGAGGGTAGAGTTTACTTTAAAAAAAAACGTGGTTTTAATGAGACAGAAGAAAGAAAAATTAAGGAGTTGATCCCATTTACAGTTGCACCCAAAACCATAAGATACTTAGGAATGAACCTAACCAGAAGCAAAGGATCTGTACTCAGAAATAGAACACTCATGAAAGAAATTGAGGAAGATACAAAGAAATGGAAAAATGTTCTATGATCAT